ACAGTCTGTTCGGAAACGGGTTTGAGAGATACTGACTTTAACCTCACACTGACCTGAGGTCAGTTTGGAAAGAATGTTTGAGAGAGGGAACTCACAGCAGATACCAGGGGGACCCCTGTGGTGTCTGTGGCTTGGCCAGTCAGATGCCAGGGCAATTTCACCCAGAGAGAGAAATCACACCTAAGTGTGAAGGCACATTCCTTTCGGGGCTTTTATGCCCTGCAGCAGAAATGCATTCGAAAGTCAACCTTGGTCTTACGCTATGGTGGAGCCCAATTGCAAAGAAAGTCAATACTGTCAAGAACATTCCACACAGACCCCATGAATGATGTTCAAAATTAAATTGATCTAAGATGACATTTCTTTTTAGTTTCACTCAACATGTCAGTTATGGCTCCAGCTACAATACTCCAAGTTAACCTTGTCAAAACATGAGGGAGTGTGTGTCTGGACCAAAGCCTGTGGCCTCACACTGCTCAGCTCATTTACATGCAGTGAAGGTCAGACGGAGCCGGTGTGAAAGAGTTGAATTACTTTCACAGCACTCCCCAATGTCTGGACGTCAGGTAATTCTGCTATTTAGCAGAAACAATCACAGTAAGAACAATATGAGCTATGAATAAAAGTAATTTTCTTTCTTTATTTTAATTTACCTGTGATTAAACCAGGCTTTTAATTAAAAGCAAGGAGCGGTATTGTATTCTAGAAACCTATTTTGTTATATTAGTTTAAATTCTCTCATATCATTTCAGGGGAGTAGCTTTGAAGAGAGAAGTGGTTAGAGTTGCCAACTAAAGGACTTTCTTGCGATAAAGCACCTATAGTAGCTACTGCTGCTGGATTCTAGCAGTTTTGGACAGATACTTAAAACAATCTAGCCTACTGTTTCTCTTTGTTTTTACGTTATGTCGCCGGATTTGAAGGTTAAAAAGTAAAGGCTATTTCTCATTAGGCCATTTGATAATGACAATGAACTCATTCTAAACACATCTTTTCCATCTAGACTTGGTTGTGTTCTTCTTCCATCCTGACCTGATGTTTTTTGTACCTTCTGTTGATAGTTATTGTGCCTGCATCATCGTGTTTGCTACATTTTATAATCTGATCACTCTCCTGATAATTGAAAGCATTTCTTGTGGAATTGTTTAATTGAGGGTGAGAAAACGAAAAAATTTAAATAAGAATGATGTTGTTGTTTTTTGTTAAAAAATGAAAATATGGACACTGAATGAAAATAGGGATTATCTTATTATTATTTATAACTTTCTATGTACAACTCTTTTCATCCACCACACATTACAGCAAACAGTCTGTTCTGACTGAGATTAGCGTTGACAGAGATTGATCTGTACAACCCTTTTTCTGTGGGTTGTTTTGGACCTCCAGGAATAAAAGATCTTTGTGCCATGAGAATGTCACATAAGGTCTGATCAAAATCCATGAATGTCAGTCGCTACAAAACACAACTCCACCATTGTATCAGAGGATCAGACGACATCAAGAACCCAGTCTGTTAAGAGACTATTTTGGGGTAGACTGGCTTTCTCTATACCACTCTTAGGTGTCATATCCCAAATGTATATGGTCATATGAAAAATATAAGTGGTAGGGTTATGCGGTTTCACAACAAACACGACGCAAATAAGTCTATGTACAAAAGCGAAGAGACTGGAGCAAAGCAAATCTGCGCTAGCATGGTGTTTCTTGCATATGTTGCAATCAGCTTTTTGTAATTGTATAAGTATGTGTATAGCTATGGATATATGTAGATAGGTTTACAGTTCGACAGAGGGAGAGCTAGAAGACGGCGCAAAGACAGACATAATAAGACTCCAAGCATGCAAGGTTGTAGAGATAAGGAGACGAGAGTCTTTGGCATACTTAGGATTGCAAAGGCCAAGAATCGATAGTGTAGGGTCATTAGCAGTGGGACACAGGTCTCGTGGATGTGCGTGTAGGCCGTAGGAGACCAAACAGAAGGAGAGAGACAGGCCGCCATCAACATACCAGAAAGGGGGAGGGGGCATTAGTGAAGAACGAGGGGGAGAATAGAGGAAAACATCAGGAAGATAGTTACGCAGTAGGACAGAGGGGAGGGGTTTCATTCAATTGACTGTTCAAAAAAATGTACAAACTAACATGTTGTGTCATCACTTCGTTAGTGTCTTTCCGGAAAGAGCTTGGTTTATTTGAGTGTGCTGCTCCAATAAACCTCTGTGATTTGAAGAGTCCAAATCTCCGGTATGTTCTGTGGGGAGTTATTGAAAGTTCCTGGTCTGTGAGGCTGTCAGAGTCAGATACCTTCAACAAGTTAGAGAATATTTAGAAAATAGTTAAAACTACAAAAGATTCCAACAACAGTGTTAAAAAAATGAATACTCGACACCGGAGTAAAATCAAAAACAGGACATTTAATGTTTGCAGAACGGAGACAGAGTTGACACACAAAAAAGTCATACACAAAGCCTACTTTTCTTTTTCAGCCCCCACATATATATACTGGGATAAGGTATCATAAACTGGAAGGTTTTGCTCATGCACAATGATCTCATTGTACAAGGATCGTCATGTTCTTCATCCTGAGACATACATCTGATGTGGCCTTCTGGACACTGGACACAAACGTTACCCAGATTTCATATCCTGAGCGGTCATCTTATCTCAGCTGACATGTCATACACCCAACTTATTGTAGAAACGATACAGACATAGACTTGTTTTGTCTAAAAACCCCTTCTTGACTTGACATTATTGCTGTTTTTCCAACAAACAGTATAGCTCATCTACTGATAAAAGAGTTGTACAGATATAAATGTGTGTGAATTCACTACAATTGACTTTCAATACTGGTCCTTGATCATGTGAAATAAATGGTATTTTGATGACATGTGATGAAATACATTTCAGGTGCTATTTCCAGTTACATTACGCAAGCATCAAATAGGTAACAAAACCTGTAAAATTAAGTTATTTCTGTCTTTAATGAATCTTGTTGCTCGCTTCAACAATCAACACAAAACTTTTAAGGTTGAATGAATCAAGTTTATTGCCCCTGTCAAATATCACACATGAAAAATAAAAAAGCTTTGTATTTGTGGATCTCAAACAAACCACGACTGCACAAAGATTATCTGAGCGAAAAACACAGAGTAATCAAACAAGAGCAGAAAGTCATCTGAAGGTAGATGCGCTCCCCTGCTCTTTTTTCTGTTTAATTTCTGATTATTGCTCAGATATGGGGTGTGATAATTACCAAGCGACTCCAAACGCCCATTTTGCTGTTTGCTCAGGGCTCCTCTCATCGGCACAGCAATCACTGATGAATATTAAAGATCTCAATAACAGAAATATACTGGTGGGGTCATATGAGGTGTATGCAGAGTGCTGCCCTTCCTAGTCTGATGGCCACATTTAAGGTCGCTTAAAAGAACTATTGACATGCTGGCCTGAGGCGGCCAGCTCTTGCGGAAAGCAATTTTTTTAAGGCATTGTAGCACTCAACATGATCAAATGTCTGGATGTCCATTTATTTCCTAGAGATTCAACTGACTCAGCCAGTGTGGATACTGTATATGTTGATGGATGACCCATCTTCACTTCCTGCCATAGTATGAAAGTAAAGGCTATATGACCCTGATATGGGCGCTGATATCATTTTGAGACAGAGTCTTTGTAGTAGTCATCAGTCATCAGACGCTGCAGTTTCAAGATTCTGCCCATAAACTCACGTGAGCAAAAGCAGAGGGTGGCTGTAGCTTGGGAGCCACCTAGCTTCTGTTAGATTGGATACAAATAAACTTATTAGAACACAGGCAAATTTGTCTTGTTTCAGAAAAGTTATTTATTTAGATGAGCTAAACTGTTTGTTGGAAAAACAGCAATAATGTCAAGTAAAGAAGGGGTTTATAGACAAAACAAGTCTATGTCTGTATCGTTTCTACAATAAACTTATTTAATTTATGAAATATTAAAGTTGCATCGCTTCTCCACAATCCTACATTAGCAGATACCTTCTCTATGTATATTGTGGAGAGTCCTTAACTTTGCAGTTGTCAAACTTGTTGTTACACCCCCCTTTTACAGCCTGAAATAACAAAACAAAATCAGATAAATTAACACACATCAGTTCTGATACAAAATTGCAAAAAGTAATCTATGTAAAAAATGCAAAATTGTTAATCATCCTTTTGCCATATTGCAGCTGCTACTGCTCGCTTTCTCTGTCAGACTTTCTCCCTGGTGCTTTGTTAAGGTTGCGGAATGATAGTCACTACCAGTGTATGTCTCAACATTTGAGAGCTGACATGGGTAAAAATGAATGGTGCGACAGGGAGAGACTTTGATCTACTTAGCGTTTCATAATCCCAGCTGTAAGGTCCTGGCGCTGGCAGGTGACAAATTGTTAAATGCTTATCATGTCATCTCAGCACAGTGATGGAAAAGCAGCTCTTTTCACCTTGAGCTAGTTTTCTGCATGACACAAAAGACACATTTCTGTGTTCTGCCAAACCTGCGACAAAGCGATGAATCAAAGAGGACCAGAAGGGTCCTGTGTAATTTGCCCACCCTTTCATTTGAGAAGTGTTTTAAGTTGTCCAAAAAATTAAAACCAATAAATAAACACATAAACTAAACCAAATAAATACAATGCTGTGGTAGCCAAAGAAGAGGGGTGCAAATGTTCAGACGCTGAGGCCCGATCCTAATCTCCACCCTTACGGACACACAGACTTTGATGCATGTTCGACTAACTCTGTGTGGGTTTGAGGTGGTGCCACCGTCAAATCGTTAGCCGTTTCTCATTACCTCGAATACCAAGAACGGACTTGTGTGGGACTCGGGAGTCCAGATTCACAAATAGAAAGAATGTTCACCTCCACAATTAGAACAGCAGCTGACTAGATGACTTCACAATGACAGCTGGTCTTGCTAATCACTTAATACAGTTCAGACATAAAAAAAATAGCTGGATCATATCAGAACGTTAGGGCTGTGTATTCGACCCAGCACACAGATATTCCACAGAGGACAATCAGTAGAAGTAATTTAATGCGTGCACGACTCAACAGGAGGGGGATAGCCAAGGCTGAGCCCGGGGTTTCGGGGAAGGGGGCGCGAGCTCCACAGGGGAATCCCGTTGACCCTAGTGGGGACGCCGGTGCGTCGCAAGGCGCATGGCAGGTAGGAACGTGGACAGTGGGATCTGTACAGAGGAACCAGGGTTAGACAGAGAGAACAACTGTGGGTGAGTGGGGAGCACGGTCGTCCTCCAATCAGAGGGTTGTCGGTTCGATCCCAGGCTCTGCTAACCTGCATGTCGATGTGTCCTTGAGCAAGACACTTAACCCAACATTGCTCCTGTAGCTGCGACTACAGTGTGTGAATGTTAGTTACTGATGGGCAGGTGTCACTGTATGGTTCTTCTGTCATCAGTGTATGAATGGGTGTGAATTGGTGAATGATGTCATGTAGTGTTAAAGCACTTTGAGTGGTCGGAAGACTAGAAAAGCGCTATACAAGTACAGACCATTTAGCATTTACCATAACACCAGGAACACTCAGTCTTATGAGCCAGGATACGGCGCCGCGTTACCATGTAGAGGCGTGTAACGATCTAGTGCTGGAGAGGTGAACAGCCCGGGTCTAAATAGTGCAGAGGTGAATCGTGGAATGTGGATCAGCTGTGTGGGAATGGAGCAGGGCCACGCCTTTTGTAGGTGGGGACAAACAACACAGGCGAAAAGGAAGATACAAACACAGAGGATGGGGAGAAACGGCAGCTGACCCATAACACAGTTGCTGTCCAGTCCTATAATATTAGGTAAACATTTAATTCAGAGCTGTTATATTACATCACACTTGCATTAGCATCATACAGCATCCAGAGTCATCTTCCTGCTGCTTAGATATTCTTCCAACACACTTTTCAAAAATATTTCAAACTGCATGACCACTGATCTTTCTAAAGATCATTCCTCCTCTCAGGTGTCTTGCTACAATCCCCAAAAGCTGCTGTTATTGAACCTAGAAGGCTAATTTAGACGCTGCAATAATGAAAAATGATATGCCGATATCAAACCTTCCTTTTTTAAGTAAAATAATTGAAAAGGCTAAACTACATCTTTGCAGTACTCAAACTACTCTTTTGAACAGGATCCACTTAATGGCAGAATTTCAGTCTTACGATTACTATCACAGCGCAGCATTTGACACGGTCGACCATGACATACTACTGGACAGACTAATCAACTAGGTAGGACTCTTGCACAGCAAGCAACTTGTTTGAATCCTACTAGACTGAGAATACTTTGTGTCTGTAGCTAATTACATATCAGAACTGAAGAAAAGGACACGTGGTGTTCCCCAAGGTTTAATACTGGGGCCCCTTCTTTTCAACATTGACATGCTGCATTAGCTCAAATTAAGTAAGACGTTATGCAGATGACAAATCTACGTAACTACATTGCAAGGGGACTACAATCCAATACAAGGGCTGGGTAAATGCATTGAACAAAACAAATGGATGTGCCAAACATCACATTTTTGTCCCTTCTTTGTTCATTTTTTCAATTTTTTTCAAATGAACAAAGTTAAAACAGAAGTAATTGTTTTTGGTAACAAGTATGGATGATTGTGTGGTGATTATGATTTCTTGGCCTTCACTAATTTGTGTGTTTTGGTCCTGGGTGCGGGCTGGCGCTCCGGTGTGGTCAGGCTGGGCGGGACGGCCGGGAGGAGCGCTCTCTCACCACTCTCACCTGTGGCTAATCGGCAATCTGGCACCAGTTAAAGCCTGCTGTCTCCTGGGCCTCCGTGTCGGATCGTTGTCTCCTGTCGACGCAACACACCAGGACACGCCAGCACGTTTGTTCCCTGCACGGCCTTCCACCGTACCTGCCCGCAGACCACCCCCGAGCCTCTCCTCAGGAGAAATAAATCCTTTCTTTTTGACCTCAAAACTGTGTCTCCGGTTTACTTTTGGATCCAGTCCTCATTAACCCTAATAGATTGAAAGACAGCCTCTCCTTTGTCAAAAACAAGGGAACCGACACCACTAGTAAGAAAGGAACGCTTATTATACTGTGCTTTCTCCCCTAGCAGGTCTCCGTAGATCGTAGTTCCTTCTGGACCCTGGTCTTGACACCTACCGTGGCCATGCTGACGCCTGCTGCTGCCATCATCATCATCATCATTATTTTAGATATTAATCATATTACTATACTCGTAAACCAACATTACCCTCTCCTAAAGTCTCTGTGCTCTCGCTCCCCACAGGCTTCTGTAGATGGGGGTTCTATCTGATGGTGGTTGCCCCTGCAGTGGTCCTGCTGTGCGCCTGGCTTACTACTCACAATTACTTGAATCATTTCTGTCATAGGAATTGCATGTATTATACATTGTTCATTCTGTACACATGGCATCCATTGTTGTCTGTCCATCCCGGGAGTGGGATCCCTCCTCTGACGTTCTCCCTAAGGTTTCTTCCCTTTTTTCCCTCTTGGAAGGGTTTTTTCATTTGTTGGAGAGTTTTTCCTGTGCCGATGGTGGGTTTCGGGACAGAGGATGTTGTATGTGTACAGACTGTAAAGCCCTCTGAGGCAAATTTGTAATTTGCGATTTTGGGCTATACAAAATAAAATGAATTGAATTGAATTATTAGCACTCCCAAGTTTTCCGTCAGCTTCCGACATTTTTTTTTTTTTCCAATGGCAAGTGATCTACCGGCACTGCCTTGGTGATCGACCTATTGGTTAGCCTTATATGCTTATTCACAGTGTAACCCCCAATGGACTGATTAGAAATAGTAGTTACTACATACAATCTGGTGGGCCGCGAAGGTACTGCAGGTGGGCCGAGAGAGGTCATTTACAATAAATAAATAAAATGTTTTTAATTTAATTTTGAAACGTTTGAAATTAATATCAAAATATTTATGATGCGGCACATTAGTTATGTGAAACATTAATTGATGAGGAAAACAATTTAAACGAACAGATTATTAAAACAATAAGGCTCTCGCTCGAAGCGGCTGCTCTTGTCTGCCTGTTGTTGATCAACAACCGGCGCCGCCAAACAAAACTATGTCAAATGGGGCGCCGTCTTGTAGTATTAAAGTAAATATACCTATTTTCCGCACTTTAAGCCTTTTAATTTTCTCAAAAAACGACTTCTAATCCGGCGCGCCTTATATATGGATCAATAGGCCCTTTTCACAATGACTTCAGATAACTTCCGCTCTTAAAGCCGGGTATACGCACTTCCGGTTTAACTTATGCACGCTGGTTAACGTTACTTCAGGAAAACACAAAAGGTGATCACCGACAACACGAAAGGTCAAATTAAAATAGTATTACTGTTTACGTATGTAGCGTTATTGGATCATTTATGTAGGTTATTTTGATGACGTTAAATGAACATTTCCAGTAACTTATTGCCTTCTTTAACGTGTGACTGTTGTGGAGGAGACAGAGAAGATTACCTGTAAATCGTGGTCAGCCCGTTTTTTTCCACAAGTTTACTAACAAGTGTTACATTTTTATCAAAGCTAAATGTCAAACCATTTCCATATGCTGATGTGCTTTCATTCATTTTATTCCTGTGTCCATTTTTTCAACAGTTTTCCATCCAATAAGCATGGCAGAGTCATCTTGTAGATGCTACTGTAGTGTTCCTTGTTGTTCAAACAACAAACATAAATTTCCTTTAAGTTTATTTAAGTTTCCTCGATTTTCCAGTGGACGCTGAAATACGTGCACGTTGGGTTAGGGCAATCAAACGAGACGAGGGACCGAGTTTTAAGATCCTCCGTGGGAGCACTTACGTCTGTAGTCAGCACTTCACCCCAGAAGACCTATGTACATCAGCCAGTGGACGAACCCGGATTAAAAAAGGAGCAACGGCATCTAGATTCCCCTGGAATGACTGGGGTAAAGGTAGGACACTAGTTGAGAGGGCGATACGCAGGGTGAAGGAGTACCACATTTGGGATGGGCTTGTTCCTCTTTCTAAGGTAGGTTCAGTCAATCAGTTGTGGGCCATCTGTTGCCTACTGTCAAACTATCAGGGACCCCTTGATATCAAAGCGGACAAACCTGTCTGCAGTATTTCTTTTCTTGCTTGTTTCAGGGCGCGTCAGAGAAACAAAGCTGTCGTTCTCGCCGAGCACTTGAGATGAGATTAAAGAGCGAGAGACGGTGCCCTTTTCTTTACAGTAGCTGAACCATCTTAACGGGGAAATAAGTTATTCTAAAAGGGGCCCTTGGCAGGCGCGGTGGCTGGAGAGCAGCCGAAGATTGTACAGCCAATCACATACCACACATCCTGCCAGATTTTAAAAAATCTGTATCTCTGGAGAACCACACTTCTCAATTATCGTTTCAATTCATGGTTTTAAAAGTCTTGCGTGTGTTGCAGAGCAATTCACGACCTAGAGAGTCACGTCTATTTATTTATTTATTTGTTTATTTATTTATTGACTTTATTGCCCCGTGCATCGCCACTGCTGCTTTTCATCGCGGACACATTTGTCCCGTATTTTCCTCCACAACTTTGTTCCTCTCGACCGGCAAACCGGCGTTTGCGGAGATCTCTCTCCGTGAATCCAACCCGCTTCTACAACCCGCCAATGACGGCTTGTAGAAGCGGTCATATTTGCGCATTTCTTCCGACAAAAGTTCTTTAATCTGATCCGTTCTCTCGTAGACAATCTTCGTTTTAATAATGGCGGTATCGGGGAAAGCGGAAATGTGAGACTCCGTAAAGGATGTAGGTAGCGGACCAATGGGAGGCTTGCGTCGGTTTTGACGCAAGCCTAGAAAAATGGCTCGACACACGCAAGGATGCAAGGACGCAAGGAGGTGTGAAAAGCGACGCAAGGGACACGCAAGGGGGGCTTGCGTCTGCGTCGTTCTGAAAACGCAGAAGCATAAATCAGGCTTTAGGCTTGAAATTGAATTGGTAAGGGTGATTCTCCGTATAGCTAATTATTACACTATTCATAGTGAATTTCACTTTGTAAGTGTAAACTTTACACTCTACTCAGAAGAAAAGAAGGGTCAACTAAGTTTCACTCTGTGCTTGTTTAGACAGCTTGGAAAAAATCTGCTTCCAGGAAAAATGGTGGAAGCTATACATCCATGTAGAAAAGATCTGTATTAAAAGTTGGCACGATATTCACAGATTCGGACTTCATTTTACCAATACGGGTTAGGGTTAGGGCAACGATCATGGTAAATTATGGTTGTAGCTGGTTGTCATCTACGGTCCACTACGGTTACAGAGATGTGTCATTTGTGTTTTGACAACGTCTTATCTCATAATTTCGAGCGTAGAAAACACCTTCGAGCGCGAGCAGAGATTAACCTCGCGAGCAAGAAAGTTCATGTTCCGCAAGCGAGCAAATATCTCCCGCAAGACGGACATTTGCTCAAGGATGTTTTATTTACGCGTGAGCATCAACCTGATTTGCGCTCTTGAATTTTGACATTGATTTACCGCCATAAAAATAAAAAAATAAAAATGTAAAGCCAAGAGGTGATCATGTTGTGTCATCTACAATTTGAATTATGCTGGGTGACGAACGATTCAATTCCACAAATTTCCCGTCAACTTCAATGACTTCTTTAAAGGCTGGCTTTAGAGCAAGCACAAATAATTTCCTGTACTGTTAATAACAGCGCCACGTACAAGCATGATTTGAAAACTAAGTTTTTTTTTCTGGTGGTGTGCCAACAAATGGTAAATGGCCTGTACTTGTGTAGCGCTTTTCTAGTCTTCTGACCACTCAAAGCGCTTTAACACTACATGACATCATTCACCCATTCACACCCATTCATACACTGATGACAGGAGAACCATACACAGTGACACCTGCCATCAGTCACTAACATCCACACACTGTAGTCGCAGCTACAGGAGCAATGTTGGGTTAAGCATCTTGCCCAAGGACACATGGACATGCGGGTTAGCAGAGCCTGGGATCGAATAGACAACCCTCATATTGGAGGACGACCGTGCTCCCCACTCACCTACAGTCGCCCCGTTTTGATGAGTTCAGTTTTTGAAACAAAGTATTTATCGATGTCACGGGTTGGGGGCGGATGTAGGACTCACTTGCAGATCAGCAAAAAACACACTTTATTTTAATCACAGATAACCAAACTGGTTGCGTGGGCGCAATGAGCACAAGGCCAGGGAAACTTTAGGGAGTTTACTTTTAACTGCAACATTAAGTAATAGAATTCACTCATATCTACCAATGTTCTAATATAATATCACATCTTAGTTTGAGAAACCGCTTAAGTTACATGACGTTGGTAACCGATGTCGTGTTTTTAAATTGCCAAAAGTATTTCTTTTATATGTTTGTGCATAGGTTTAAATTGTTCATAATATGCATTAGATAAGATGGACACAATGCTATACAAATCCCATTTAAAGTATATCTTAGTTATCAGAGGAACTTTGACTTCTTGTTGTACTGTAGTGTAGCTGTAATAGCCTTGTCAATTATGAGCCTTTGGTGCTCGAGATTACCGTCATTATGCAAAAGAACACAGTTTGGAATGTGAGACAGCCAAGACATTGGCAGGCCCACTGCTCGTCTTCTGGCTGACCCCTGTGCATATCAGTACATTTCCACTGCCCATTGGTATGCATTTGGCTCCCGGCAGCAACTGGGTACAATCATCGCCTCAGTTTCAGGATGGAATGTGCACAGCCCTCTCCCCTCTGAGGCTCTAAGTAGACGATAAATATTTCCAAAAGGCTGGGAAACATACCTTTAAAAATCTTATAGCTCCTTAGGTTACAACACAAATCACTTATTATGAGGAAAAACAGCACTACAAATAAAATAATATAAATAGTCCAAAGAGAATATCCCCTTTGCTGGCTGCGCTGAAGTTCACGGCCTGTTATTATACAATTGCTCTCTGTAGAGGAATGGTCCAAATTCCTTTTACAATTGTTCATCTTGAGAGTTGTCACCACAAAGTAAATTTCCCCAGGGAGCGCCATATAAATTGCATGCCAGTGAACAGACGTAATAGCTGTGGCCTTGGAGATATGTTTGGCAGCAACATCCAAGAAGAGAGAGTTTTTCTGTTGCTCACAGACGAGCAGTGCTTCCTGCTCATTATTTTGCAATTGGGAACAAGTGTTTTGGTTGGATATTTGTATATTGCTTTGTGGTCTCTCAGCAATTTGTTGTTATTATGTTCATATTTTTAAAGGCGAGGTAAATTTGGGGGTAATCAAAGCTGATAAAACAGTTTCGGAGTGCATCTGTTGACTGGAGACCGCGGGGTTTAGGAGCGTTGTAACCCGCA